TTTAAGAGTGACAACATGTGTGAACAAGAACATGGCTATTTGTTTGACTTCTGTTATGAGGGCTTGTGACCCCATAGAAAAGCTACCCCAGCCCGTTGCCATATCGACCATAACCAAATTTTAATTATGGTTTTGGATGTAGAGCAGAGGGACTTATTAAACGAAATGCAACCATGGACTTTCCAATAACCTAGCACTGCCACTTAGGATAAATGACTGACATGAGCAAGTAATTACCAAAATGGGATGAATACAATGTTCACTCGTGTCATGTCAGCAAGAGTCAGCTAAAGAGCCAAAATCTGACAGAAAAACGATGAATTGTGTGACTATTGAGGTGAATTATGCCATGTAACAACACAGGAGAAGGATTTATCATCCCAGCGTTAATTAGGTACATTTCGGAGTTCTAAGTCTTAATGATAATTCTATAAAATGTAAAAGCTATAAATACCTCGTCCAAATGCCATAACTGCATATGAAAGCTGAGGCTGTGGCTGTAAAGTGCCCAAACTGTCACGATCACGAAGCACCAGATCGGTCTGGTGTGTATAATGTTTGATGGTGGAGGGGCGTATGGCATGTACTTGGTTGCCTCGCTTCTGTCATTGTGCCCCAGGGCAGCTGTGGCTACGGGTAGTATCTTATAACCAATGTATATGGTGTGAATGCATAATGACATGTAAAGCGTCTTTGAGTGTCTAACATAGCGCTAATATAAACTTAAATCATCAACAAATTGAATCACATCCATCAATATCATGCTCATGAAGTTTTCTTCAAATAAGAAAAAAGTTTAAAGCTACAGTAGTACTACACTAAGAAGACATGATGACATTTTTTTTTTTTACATTTATGCATCAATAGTGTTTGTCATATTTGAATTTTTAACTAACTGGCACAGTGTTAGATCAGAATCAAATCAGATCATTTTTTATTGCCACGTAAGAACAAACAAAAGTTACCATTTGGAAAATAGATAAGGCCAAAAAGCCCTTATTTTAAACTGGACTTATCAAACTGAGAGAAATATAATGAATCCTATCAGTATATCGAAATCTAAATTATCAGGTACATACTCTGTTACTCTGATACAGCCCTCTATCTGTCGGACTGGCCCAACCTTGCAACAGCGTGAGAGACACGCCACAAATAGCTTCTTTTACACTCCTTGCCATTAAGCTTTGTTAGGTATTCTGTCCTGACCCAAGAAATACCACCTGATTTGATATTCTTCAGATTTTGTGAGTCGTTTATTGCCAACTGCTTGCCCCCCACCTTTCTGCTGAGCAGATAAGGACATAAAGCAGCAAAGCATCTCCTGTAAACACGCACAGAGCTAAGAGCAAATGCACTAGTCTTCATAAAATGCCTAATGATCCTTGTAGCAGACATCGATAAGGAGATACTATTTCAAACACGAATTCTAGTCACTTAGGAGATTATCATGTCCTGTCATTGTCCTCCCCCTTTATGATCCCTTCTGGGTCGGGGGGTGGTAATCAAGCTGCACCCAAGTCTCATAGCACCAGTCCCTCGCTGATCCCTCCTGTAGGTGGTGGAGTACACAGATGATGACTTCTCCATCATCGACGAGATAGCCTTGTCTTCAGCTGGGGCTTAAGGCAATGGGGGTAACGTGCCCAGGACACAACGGACAGCAGACATCATGGGAGCAGATGCCTATGGTTAGTGGTGGAGTGGGCTTTACTTCACTCCACTACACATTGGAATGTATTGATTACATTGCAACTATGAAAGGGGTGCCAAGACATTGTGCTTCCAAGGGCCAAAAGTAAAAATTTGCCATGGCCGGGGCCAAAAACACCAATGTAATCACTTGAAACACAAAAAAAATGAAATTGATTCAAGTGTCCATTAAATTACTGTTAAATAATTAACGCATTTAATTATTGTCTATCAGTGCAAATCACAGATGAATGAATGAATGAAAACAACACCACTCATTAGAAGTGGAGCTCAAGGGAAATATGCAGGTTTGAAGGAGACTCCATACGGAAGATTCCATTCAAGAATCAGGGTCCCATAGGGGAGGAGATTCTGTCGTGGCTTATTTACAGATATAACAAATATATAGACCCATAAAACAGGTATAAATTTGGTCTATAACGCAATATTCGAAAAATACAGCTCTTATTATATCGCTTAAATACTGCTGCCTAAAAAAGTTACAGACATGCCCATTAATTTGACACAAGACCGCCGTAAATGATTGTCCATATGCCACTATAGATGTACTAATAATAAACTAGCAATAGAATGAACATTGACCTATAAATTAGCAGCAAAACCAAACATTTTACATTAGACTAGTACTTAACGTAGTCTAAACATCACGTCACAAACAATAAAATTGGTGACATGAGGAAACACGAGAAAAGTCTAAAAAGTGCCACAGACATATGCAAAAGCTCTAACATAAATTTATCAACAAATCTCATACATGGACGTACTTTCTTGGGGGCCATTAACGGGCACACTAGACACAAGGGAATGTGAGCTCAGCTGCGTGTTTGCACTGACAACAGCAACGAGCCAAAGCGACAGTACCTTCAACACTAGCTTTCCTAAACTTTCCCTTCAAGCCCAAAAGGCCTTCATGGGAGATTCCCCCCCCCCCCCCCCCCCCCCCCCCTCTCAAAATTGATAAAACATAAAATAGCTCATAAAAAAATAATGGAGACTGAAAAGAGTTTGATAAGTTGTTTGTTTAAAACATTATTAGTGCCAAGTTCAAGTGAGACCATGGTACTGAGGCGTGTATCTGGATACATCAGTAAAGGCACTGACAAATACAACTATGAAGATTCGCGCGCCCAAGCAAGTTCAGATATATATAACGTATGAATACAGCCTCTAAGGCCCACAGGTCAGAAACTGCAACACAGTTGATATGAAATCGTCGGCCAATTGAAGCGTACGCGCGGGCAAGTTATTGCCCGCGGGCCCCCCTTGGGCACTCCTGGTCTATTCTTCCATTTCTAAATATGTAAGCGTGTGTGTGTGGCGCATGAGGCAACAATTATACCTTCATAGATGAAATTGATTACTGAAACAATGCCACATGGCTTTTGGTCTAATGTGTTTTCTGAGGACCAACAAATATTTCTCCCTCGCAGATCAATAGTTTGTGTAAAGCATTAGTATAATAGATAGAATAGATAGATAGATAAAGACTTTATGAGTCCCCATAGAGAAAAATTCAGGTGTCCAGCAGCAGAAGACTCTTTTCTTGTTGTTGTAGTAAGTTAGTCAGGATTGTTAAAAAGTCTGACAGCCGAAGGAAAAACAAAGGACATTTTGAAACGTTCCTGTCGGCAGCGTTGCGATATGAGCCTGTTGCTGCGATAACTCCTGTGAGCGCCATAGTTTCAAGCAGAGGATGTCTGGAGTTACCCCGATGCCCTGCATTAGAGCCCTCAACCTTCTCTCCACACAGCTCCCACAGAGTCCCACACATCTCCCCACCCACAGAGACAAACTACTGATCAGCCTGTCCATCCGGTTTACTGTCCTCTCGAGGTCAGACTGCCGCCCCAACACGCGAACCCCGAAGAACCCAGCCCTAGCTACCACAGACTGGTAAAAGATGTGCAACATATTGACTGCTCACATCAAAGACCTTCCAGTCCGACACAAGAAAGAACAGTCTGCTCTGAACCTTTTTTGTTGAGGGCATATGGCCTGAGCTTAAGGATAAACCAGTACAGATCTGCCCAGTGTGACTCCCAATATTTATAGGATTGAACCACTTCATGATCCCAGTCCATTTACTGTGACCGGTTTGATGGGAAGGGCTCCTGTGAAAGTTTTCTGATTAACATCCTCCTTTGGTCTTGGACGCTGAGGAACAGTCCAGTTCTCTCTCTCCATCTGAGAAGGCAGCCATCCCACCTCCCAGTACGCTGCTTAATCCCCATTCACACATGCCACAACAGACGGTAAACGTCCCGAGTATTGTTGTACATGGCATGTAAGTAGTGTAAATAGTCAAGAGGAAGGGAGCCAGAAACGGTATACCTGTGTGCGCCCGTATTGTGCTCACAACAGTCCCAAAACACGCTCTTCCTCAACCTAGCATAACTGTGACCTCACAGTGGAGGTAAAACCAGTTTGCGGTAAAAGAGGGATCAACATCCAACTCTCCTCCCAGCTCACCTCAGTAAGAGAGGTTGGATGGTGTACATGCACTGGAGAATCGAAGAACATCAGCCCTCCCAAACCTTCCTGGGCCATCCCTGAAGACATGGAATCGATGGAGCAAGAAGAGTCCCGCAATCAACCACTCCCATGTTTCCCCCGATAGGCAAACAGCAGGGGTCAAGAGCTGCTCAACCTGAGGCCTGAGCCTCGAGTAACTAAGCCTCTCAAAAGTCTTTCCATTATGACAGATGTATAGTGCCACTGTCTGTAGTCCTTGCTCCTGTCGGCCTGTGCTACCTTGTGGAGCGGTACCAGTGCAGGAGGTTTTTTTCCCAACTGACAGGACACATCCAGTCCTGATAAGACTCTGTTAAAGAGGTTATGGAGAGGCTCAGCTAACTCCGCTGCACATTCCTTTAGGAGCCTTGGTCGCGTTTAATCCCCATCAGGCCCAGCAGACTTCCTCCCCTGGAGCTTCTTTAGCTCCACCCGAACATCCTCCACGTTGAAGAAGGAACGCAGCAGCAGAGTTGGTGCAGCTGCCGAGAGGACAGAGGCAGGTCACAGCAAGGTGGTGTTAGCCGCCGGGACAGGGGGAGCAGGACAGGTCACAGACAGAAGGTGGTGTACGCCGGGACTGGGGGACAGGACATTTCACAGCAGAGGAGTGTAGCTGCCGGACGGGGGGAGCAGGACAGGTCACAGCAGAGGTGGTGAAACCGCCGGCACTGGGGGGAGCAGGACGTCACAGCAGAGTGGGAGTCGCCGCCGGCACTGGGGGCGCCAGACCGGTCACAGACAAGGTGGTGTAGCCGCCGCACTGGGGAGCAGGACAGTCACAGCAGAGGTGGTGTAGCTGCCGTGAACGGGGGGGAGCAGACAGGAGACAGCAGAGGTGGTGGCAGCCCGCCGCCACTGGGGAGCAGACATGTCACACTGAGGGTGTCGGCCGCCGCACTGGGGGAGGCAGAACAGGTCACAGCAGAGTGGTGGTAGCCGCCGTCACTGGGGGGGAGCAGACAGGTCACAGCAGAGTGGGTAGCCGCCGCACTGGGGAGCAGACAGGGTCACAGCATAGTGGTGGTAAGCCGCCCGGCACTGGTGGAGCATTACAGGACCCAGCAGAGGTGTGCAGCCGCCGCACTGGGGAGCAGTACTGGTCACAGCATATGGTGTAGCCGCCGCACTGGGGGGGAGCAGGACAGGTCACAGCAGAGGTGTGTAGCCGCCCGCACCTGGTAGCATTACAGGACACAGCACGAGGAGGTGCAGGTCACTCCGGCACTGGGGGGTAGCAGGACAGGACACAGCCGAGGTGTGCAGCCCCGCCACTGGGAGCAGGACAGGTCACAGCAGAGGTGGTGTAGCCGCCCGCACTGGGGGAGCAGGACAGGTCACAGCAGAGGAGAGTGAAGCCGCCGGCACTGGGGAGACAGACAGGTCACAGTCAGGAGGTGGTGTAGCCCGCCGACTGGGGGGATTCAGGACCGGTCACAGCAGAGGTGGTGTACTTCGGACTGGGGGAGCAGGACAGGTCACACGCAGAGTAGGTGTAGCCGCCGTCACTGGGCGAGCAGGCAGTCACAGCAGAGGTGTGTACCGCCGGACTGGGGGAGCAGACAGGAGACAGCAGAGGTGGCGGCAGCGCCGGGCACTGGGGGAGCAGGTAACAGTCACAGCAGAGTGGTGTAGCCGCCGGCACTGGGGGAGCAGGACAGGTTTCACAGCAAGGAGTGGTGAGCCGCCGCAACTGGGGGAGCAAAACAGGACACAGCAAGAGTGGTGCAGCCGCCGGCACTGGGGAGCAAGACATGTCACAGCAGACGTTATTATGAAGGGGATTATAGTTTACGTATTAATCAAAGATCCATACTGTATATGGCCCACCAGTTTAAGATGTTGTCTAGTCATGCCTACCATATGATAAACCCTCCCGCAGCCTCAAGCCGGGCTCGTGAGTCTTTGTAACAAAGGGTTAAGGGCTTTACACAGTATGTCAACAAAGTGTTCTGTATTAGTGCGTTGATCCTTGTATACATGTTGACTTTAATGTTCATAAAGACCACAAACTGGAGTAGAAGGCATGATCTATAATTATATCTATAGGTTATTTACTAGGCTTACTAGCTGTCCCACCAATGGCACAGTCTGTGGTACACATTTATGAGGTACCCAGAAAAAGGTCCATCGAAACTCATGTTAACTAAAAAACAGCTCGACCCTCAGGCTGACAGAGAACCTAACAGCTTTTCATAAAGGTCCGATTATGGGGGGATTTAGTGTCCCTTGTCATACTGAAACTATTTTCTTGTTAAATCCTTCATTCTTCACTTTAAATCACACTTTAATGTAACAAACTCTTCTCGTTTTCCCCCCACCTTGGCCTCCAATCAAACTCCATTCTGAATCACCATCGCTGATGGTCCAAAGCCGCCGGCCGAGCCCCCTCTTGTGCACATTCGTGAGAACCGCATATGTGGCGCTAACCAATCCGTGATCCAAGATGGCCCATTCAAATGACGTAGCCGCATGGACATACAGGAGGACCAAAAGCTTAGCGGAACCGCCAGTATTTGGGGCATCGTCTGGTCTTCCTTTCAGCGCATGGACAGCTCCATGATTGTGTTGTGCCAAATACGCGGTGTGTGGCTCATATGCATGCACAGAGGGGCTCGGCCGCACTTTAGACCAATCAATTGAGGTCACGAATCAGTTTCTGAGATATGAGTTTAACGGCAAACCATTTCTGGGACCCAGCCACAACAGGCAAGTTTTTAGAATTTTTCAGTCAATAGAGATGGAAATATATAGGACTAAAAAATAACGGGTTGAGTACTTTTATACTCTGCAATAGTTAATATTGGAATCATATTTTCATATTCCCAGGATATCTTATCTAAAGCCCAACATTTCATACTAGCTAAGCACTGGGTATTAGAGGCAGTTTGTTGCAATTGGGGTCATAATTTGGACCATTCAGAATAAATGTAAAGGTGGTCTAAAACAACTTTAAATCCTTGATTGATAAACCACCAATCAAGCTTGTTTCTCAATAAATGAAAGCGTTGTCCGGTTTAAGACTTAAACTGCCAAAACACAAACTCATTAACAAGAAAATGTGACAAGTGATTCCAAAACTTTTCATAGAATATTCAAAACAAAAGAATGGAAGCTTTAAAGGAACATCAATCATTAAGTTCTTAAATAGGGGAAAAAGCACCCAGGCCCTCCATGAACTGAGAAAAAAAGGCCGTATTTTTGACTTTCAGCCCCGAACTATGGATTCCACATTTTGGTGATTATTGTTTTTGAACCGTTTCTCACTGATGAAGACTCACCTTCTACCACAACCCTATATCGCTTCCCACTAAGCAACATCAACAGCACCACTTTCCCCACACTGACCTATTTCGCGGCCATGTCACTGTGTTTCTGTTGTCCTCACATTTGTAGCTGGCCTGGTCAACCTGAGATGGCCATTTTGTATCCGTTCATTATTGATCAGACTGTGGCGGTTTAGAAACACAAGTCATACGTTGAAATTACCGTGGTTTTAAAGCTACCCATTAATAAGCACATCAAGTGAAGGAATAGAGACACCACATCTTAGACATTGGCAGTCAGCAGTTACAGAAAAACACATTTAGCGGCTAACCAAAAAATCTAAAGTTAAAAGTGCTGCATGCAGACTGGAGCCACATGTTGAGCGCCACAACGCGACTGTAGAGGCAGTCACCCCGGTTTACAGTCGGGACTGGACCAGAGATAAAAACACACAACCCGGAGGACTGGAGGAGGCGGAACAGATTCATAAAGTGCTTCTTTGTGACCTCGGACTTGCTGCAGCTTCATATCATTTATACCCACATGCACGATTACCTTGGATATGGTATCGGGCAGGGACTGAAGCAGAGGAGGGAGACGGATGAGCAGATCTGGGACTGTAACTCCGGTAATGCAGTGAGTGACCGCGTTAAAAAAGCGGACGTGTCTCACGATGGAATCTCCAACGATCAAAGTAGTTGGGGCGAAGAGTGGACGCGGCCGCGGAGAAGGCGCTCGGTGTCCATGGCCAGAACCAGCGGGCTCATCCAGGGATGAGTCCGAACCAGGGCGCTGCTGAACACATGGAGGGGAGCGGGGGTGTTGATTCCCAGCTCCGGGCAACCCACGCTGTGTGCACGGAGACGCTGGAGCAGCGAGAGGAGCAGGCTCGGATCGCTGCTGCTGACCCGGTGGAGGTAAGTGGTGGTGATGCACTGGGGTCAGAGAAGGGGAATGATCACTCTTTCGTCTGAGGACAGCTTCCTTTAAGAGTGTCTTTCTCGCAGTGGACCTGGATCCACGGACAGCAGTAGAGTTTGCTGCAGAGTCCAGGGGTTCTGCTGAGGGGGCTGGTATGTCAGCGGAGAGGGCTGCATAGCGGTTTGACAGGCTCAGGACATGGGCCACGGCGCTGGATGGCTCCTCGCAGTCCGCAGGCTCTTTATTCCGAACCGGGCACTTAGGTGTAGAACAAGAGGGCCTAGAGCTGACAGACCTCTCCCACACGACAGTGTCACAGTATGCAGCGCTCAGTGACATAAGCCGTGAGTGCTGCCCGCCAGCGACATCAAAAAGTTTGGACACGAGTGACTGTTTGTCCTGCAGCTCTGCAGTGAGGCGAAGGACTTCTTTACGGAGGTCTGCAATAGTGGCACGGTCCCTCTCACGAAGCTCCAATGTGAGGCGACTAATGTCGTTCGTGGTCATTGCAGTGTCACTTTCCATGTCTGTGGTGCGCTCGTGGTAGCCTCCGAGCTAGCGCGTTTCGATTTGGTCTTTGTGTTAAAAGACGTAATGCTCTGGAACCATTGCATTTAAGATAATAAAACACTAGAGTGTACAAAAGACACTAATACACCGTAAAAACGTGTTTAAAAGGCTTTAAAAGGCTTAAAAGGGTAAACAGAGCAGAGACGTCAAAACGCGTGCTCACTCCACACGGACAGATTAGTAAAATGGAATCCAGGACTCTGTCTACATATAAAAGAAGGTTTAATGTAAGCAGAATACAGGCATTACAAGCTAATCAGCCTGGGTCAGCGCTAGATGGTAAAAGCAAAAGACAAAGAACCAAGCAACACTGCTTACTTCAGTTGTAGACGCCAAATGGGTTTGGTCAGCTTGCTTGATGTGTGCTCTGACATGCACTGTCAACTGTGGGACCTTATCAGGTGTGTGCCTTTCCAAATCAAGTCAAATCAACTGAATTTACCACAGGTGGACTCCAATGAAGCAGTGGAAGCATCTCAAGGATGATCGGTGGAAACAGGATGCACCTGAGCTCAATTTTAAGCTTCATGGCAAAGGCTGTGAATACTTATGTGCTTGTGGTTTCTTATTTATTTATTTTAATAAAAAAAGAATCTCAAAAACTTTTTTCATGTTGTCATTATGGGGTCTTGTGTGTAGAATTGTGAGGGAAAAAATGGAATAAAGCTGTAACATAACAAAATGCGGAAAAAGTGAAGCGCTGTGAATTTTTTACGGCTGCACTGAGTGTGTAATATATATATATATATATAATATAGCCACTAAAATCATTTAGTGCCATCTCATACGTCTCCAAGGTCTAATTGTCTTTTCATGCAGCAACTAATATACTTAATGCAAATGGAACTCGATAAACATCATTCTAAGGCTACCTTGGCACTTTCCGGTTTGAATTGTCGTCACTTCTCAAACTAGTAAGATCGCAATCTACAAACTACATTTTAGCAGACTATGCAATGATGTGCAGTTTTGCAATAATTACCACTATTTTGTGTCAGAATGTCTGGCCACATTCTGACATATCACCCCTAGATTTCTAGAACAGAGCTGAGGTACAAAGATTTGAGAAAAAAGCAATGTAGTAAAACTGCTTGCTCCACTTGAGTGTTGGGCCCAAACAGTCTGCGTATAACTGTCACAGGCACTAGGTCAAAGTTATGAGCAAACTCGACCTCTGAACCCTGGAAGTGGTGCTCGAGTTTGGCTTTGTTTGTTTATTGACTGGCAGGAAGTGACACGAGCTATTGGTCCCAGTTGAGAGGTAGTCCAGGCCGACAGGCTGAGGTACATGGCACTTTGTTGGATTATCTCTTGCATCTGCAAAGGTTTTAGTGCTGCAGCTGTGAAAGCTTTAACTGCTTTGGCGGTTCTGGATATATTAACTTGAAATTACTGTTATGGCAGATATTGACCATTCTTTTTAATGTCCATGCTTATTTGTAATTAGTTGATGTACCTGTTGCACAATTTTGTGGCAAGCCAGATGAAAACGAAACAGTTGAGGTTTATCCGGATTATTGTGTCTTTAAGTCTTTATTCAAACCCTCCTTCCTGTATTCTATGTCCTTTCTGGCCATTCCGCCAGCCTGATCTGAAGGAAACCCTAGAAGTGTGCAAAGAGGCCAGTGAGATGCAAAGGGAGTGGAGGGGTGCTGGTAATGGGGTAGGTAGGCCTACTGGCGACAGAGATGGATGGATGATTAAGTGTTACTTTCTTCGTCCTAATACACACCTACTGTACACTTAATCATGCTTATACTTAAGTTATCTGTTTATGGATATACATATCCTGTATTAAATGTGACCAGTGTAATCATTGGTGTTTTGCAGATGAATTCTGAATAGAATCTTATTTTGATTACATTTATTTTTGTATTCTACTCTAACAGTCCAGGCTTCTGGATGGTCTCCTGTTGCAGTTCTGTGTGGTATGTCCCTGCTCTAGCCGACAGGCTAAGGTACTACAGTTACCTGCCCTAGTCTTGACAGCTACTGTCTCTGCTTATGATAAAGTCTTTCTGCTCAAACGGCAATTCATATGTTATAGTTGGAGATAGATTTCTATGGGATTGTGCATTTGTGGCATTGATCAAAATAATAGCAGC